CTCCTCGATCAATTTTGGACCGAGCACTCGTCGCTCTCCGACGTCGTCCCAATAAAGAGGGGAACGACACTTACGCCCGTAAAGTGCCTCATAAAGAGCCATCTGAATAGAAGAATGATAGCTGTTGTTGTACTCGAACTCAGCATACGGCAACAACGACTCCCACTTAGCACCCCTGTCAACAACCAAAGCGCGAAGCATATCCTCAAGTGTCTGAATGGTCCTCTCGGACTGACCATCTGTCTCTGGATGGTAGGCTGAACTGAACTCAAGCTTCGTGCCCATCGCCTCGTGTAAACTGTGCCAGAATCGACTGACGAATCTGGGGTCTCTGTCTGATATGATAGTAACGGGCACTCCGTGGAGTCGAATGATCCCACGGGTATAATCTCAGCCAACTTATCCAAAGACATCTTCATCGAAATGGGTAAGAAATGCGCAACCTTAGTCAATCTGTCGACCACGACCCAAATAGCACCGTGATGTTCAGACGACCTCGGTAATCCCGTAATGAAATCCATCGTAACTTCCTCCCACTTCCACCTTGGAATCGGCAGTGGTTGTAGGAGGCCGATCGGACTCTGATGTTCGGCTTTAACTTGCTAATAGGTAAAACATCTCCTGACGAACTGAGCGACGTCCTTCTTCATTCCGCGCCACCAGAACGACCCTTTCAGGTCATGATACATCTTCGTGCTCCAAGGATGGGTTAGATAGGGTGCGGTATGAGCCTCTGATAATATCTTCTTCCGCAACGCCGCGACTTTCGGGACCACGATCCTGCCTCTGAACTCTAAGGCACCATCGGCACCTACCTGAAAACCCTCGACGCCTCCGGCGCGGACTTTAGCCTCCATGACACGAACGAACTCGTCAGAAGCCTGTTCCTGCTGGATTCTCTCTCTCAGCATCAGCTGAATCTGCATGGCATTGACACTGGCAGTGACACCCCCCGAAATGGCTGTGGGAAGTGCATCGACCGCCTGAATCTGCATCCGGGCGAAATCCTCAATCAACGGACTTTGCTGAGTAACGACATACGTCAAGTCACCCCTCACCTTTCGGCTTAGGGCGTCAGCCACGACGTTCGCCTTCCCCGGATGATACTGAATCGAGCAATCGTAATCTTTGACGAGCTCGAGCCAACGACGTTGTCTCATGTTTAGCTCCTTCTGCGTGAAAATGTACTGCAGGCTCTTGTGATCTGTAAAAATCTCGCAACGACCGCCGTAAAGATAATGTCGCCAGATTTTGAGAGTGTGAACAACGGCGGCTAACTCCAAGTCGTGCGTCGGATAGTTCTGTTCATGCGGTTTGAGCTGACGTGAAGCATAGGCAACGACCTGGCCGTCCTGCATAAGTACACATCCCAGTCCCTGCTTCGAAGCATCACTGAAAATGGTGAAACTTTGAGAAGGATCGGGAATACTCAACATCGGGGCTGAAGTTAATCTCCTCTTGAGCTCCTGAAAGCTCGCCTCACAACGATCAGTCCACTCGAACTTCACAGACTTCCTCGTCAGTTGGGATAGTGGGAGGGCAATCTTGGAAAAGCCCTCGATGAACCTGCGGTAATAGCCAGCTAAACCGAGAAAACTGCAAACCTCGGACGGACTCTTCGGTGTCGACCAGTTTTGAACAGGTGAGACCTTAGAAGAATCTACCTCGATACCTGCCTGAGTAATCACATGACCCAGAAAAGCTACTCGCTGGAGCCAGAATTCGCATTTAGAGAATTTGGCATATAACTTTTCTCGTCTGAGGGT